AACAGCACAGAACCTTACGTTGGTGAAATCTAGGTGGAAATACTTTTCAAAAAGATGGGTGAAATCACTTAATGATGGCGTGATAGATGGAATTTTTTCAATTATGGTTTAGTTCTTTCAATGTTGAATTGAGTGTTGTATAATTTGTTATCTTTGTTCACGGTAAGAATAATGTTTATGTTTGAATTTTTATTATTTTTTTTTTCTCGAAAGCCGCGTGCAAATTGATTTTTTTCAGTTTTTGCGGTTACCCCCATGCGCCAGCTGCTTGGTACTGATTATAATAGAAATTAGTTATATGGCGTGTTACGGGAGTTTTTGTTTTTGTTTACCTTATATACATAGTGTTTACTATTAATTTCTCTATAATTTCTTTCTGTAAACTGGATACAAAGACAAATAAATAAATAAAAAAAATAAATAAAATGTTATTGGCAAAATTAACTTAATAAACTGTTTTTACATTTTTTTCAAAAATTTTCTAGTATAAGGGTACTAAAATTTTACGTCATCGTAAAGAGAAAAAAAATCTCTATCAAATGAGCCTAACGAAAGGGTACATTGCCATTTAAAAAAAATTAAATGTTATTCGTTGCTCATTTGTTTTCTGAAATAAAAACAATTGAATGGTGTCTTATTATGGCAAATCAAATATTAAAAAACTTTTGTATAAAATGTTTTTTTGTAAAGTTGATACTTACCAAGATATATACTATATTCCATACATAATGGGCACCCTGTATATATTTTTATTGAAAAAATCGTTTTAGAATTTAATTTAGAACATCTTTTGTATGAAATTTTCTGCTGAGAACGAGTGGAGGGGGGAAATCGTATTGTTTTGTTACAAAAGTAATAAATTATAATAAATTATTAATGACTTACAGCCATGTAAGGTCGACATCCCGCATCTTTAGTTCGCGCGATTGAATCAACTAATTGTCCGGAAATACCAAAATCACATAATTTAATATTACCCCTTCGATCTAATAAAATATTACTCGGTTTAACGTCTCGATGAATTATCCTTAATTTATCTTTTAAGTAACTCAATGCTTTCACGGTAGCAACGGTGATTTTCCCCAAAATCGGCTCCGGTATTTTATGGTTTAATCGTTCGCAAATGAATTTGTAAAATTTATCCAACGACGTGTCCATTAATTCCATACAAATCCAACAATCACCCTCCTTAAAAAGCGCCCCATAAAATTGTACTATGTACGGACAAGAGTTGCTTTGCATCACAACTTCCAAGTCCATTAACAATTGTTTTTGCTCCTTTTCGTCAACCGTAGATCGAATTCGTTTAACCGCTAAAATCGTATTCGTTCTTTCGTGTAACATTTTATTAACCGTTCCAAATCCGCCTCTTCCTATTTCGCCGTGATCTCGAAGATCATCCGAAGTAAATTCATATTCGGTTTCGTTGATTTTTAATTTACCCGTCGATTGCATGGATTGACACATTCTAAATCGCGTATTTTCTCTGGAAATTATAATTTCGTAGTATTAAAAAATATATATATTAGAGAAAACAATTTAGATAAAAAGCTGCAAAAACGTGCACAAAAAGGGATAAAAACAGCTACACTAAATAAATATCGATACGATACACACAAAAAAGGTGAATTTCTTTTTAAAACGGGGCTATTACCTCAATTTTTGTCTGTCATTTTGCACGAATCTGTGAAAAAATTAACAACAAGATATGATTCTAACGATAAATTAATCAAAAATCGGGAAAAATTCAAGAATCATCAAGTCGACTATTTCTTACTTTTTAATCATTGTGAAATGACCCAAAAAACAGGTTAAAAATAAATAGTATAATGAATGAGTGCTTTAAGTCTTATAAAACGTGTTTTTTATGCAATTTTTTGTAATTCGTGTTTTTATCCTTTTTTTTTAACAAAAATAAAATAAATTTTGACAATGTAGGGAAATAGGTATGCAGCAGTTGGTAACAACCGAAATTTGAATTGACAATTAGAAACTGTCAAAACACAAAATGTATTAACCTGAAAAAATGTTTCATGTACACCTCCCAAAATAAGAGAAATTGCTCAGTGGGCCTTTTATTCGATGCTAAGAGCGTGTTCAAACATCCATAGACAAAAATTGTCACATTGACAACTAGANTATCGAACCGATACACACAAAAAAGGTGAATTTCTTTTTAAAACGGGGCTATTACCTCAATTTTTGTCTGTCATTTTGCACGAATCTGTGAAAAAATTAACAACAAGATATGATTCTAACGATAAATTTATCAAAAATCGGGAAAAATTCAAGAATCACCATGTCCACTATTTCTTTCTTTTTAATCATTGTGAAATGACCCAAAAAACACGTTAAAAATAAATAGTATATTAAAAAAGAAATTTCGTGCTTGAAATGCACGAATTTAAGTTAAATTTTTGTAATTCGCGTTTTTATCTTTTTTTTTTTAACAAAAATAAAATAAATTTTGACAATGTAGGGAAATAGGTATGCAGCAGTTGGTAACAACTGAAATTTGAATTGACAATTAGAAACTGTCAAAACGCAAAATGTATTCACCTGAAAAAATGTTTCATGTACACCTCCCAAAATAAGAGAAATTGCTCAGTGGACCTTGTATTCGATGCTAAGAGCGTGTTTAAACATCCATAGACAAAAATTGTCGCATTGACAACTATACTCTGTTTTTAAACCAGGAGGAGTAAACGCGAAAGTCAGATTTACACTAGGAAAAATCACCAGAAAATATCACTAGATATTTTGGCGGTAAATTTAAATTAATAATTATTATTATTTATTTATTTACTTATTATTGTATTTATTTTCGTTTGTTATCGTCAACACTAAACATACAAATTAACATTGAAGTTATGAGTGTATTTATTTCAAAATATAATAAAGAAGGGTTTAAGAACACAAAATTTACAATAATGACACGAAACTGTCGAATTGTCAATAACCTAACCTTCAAATTCAAAATTANTATACAGGGTGTCCCTAAAATTTGTTTGCTCAGAACTTTTTTGTTCGCTCGTAACCCTACATTTATTTTTGTACTTTTTAATAGAAAATTTATTTTAGAAACTATTATCACTCTTTGAAAATTTTGATAACATTTACCGTTTTCGAGTTATACGCGAAAATGTTAAGCTTTGATTTCAATCGTAACAAACAAAAAAAGGAAACATATTCCGCAAGATCTGAGTTGGCGATGACAATTGAAAAACGAACTGAGCTAATAACCATTATTTGCATACATTTCTAAGTGCAGACTTAGTTAAATCCAATGTTAGTTTATTTTAGTTGAATAAAAGAATGTAATTTTCAAAACAATAAATTTAATTTTCACGGTAACAACAAACAAGAAGATAACAAAAATATTAACAAGAACAATAAAATTATAAACAAATAGTAATAAATAAAAAAGAACAAAAAAATACTAAAGCAGATGCACACCTGATATCGCCGTCTTAAATTAAAGCGCACTCTGCGGAGAACATTGATCTCAGTTCGAAGTTGATCAAATGAATCAACAATTCGAAACCTCAGTTGATCAACTGAAGTTATTTCAACGCAGTAAATTAGCGATTTAACGCGTTCCCATAAATAAAAATCTACAGGTGTAAGATCCGGCGATCGGGGGGGGCCAACTTATCAGCGAATCTACTCCTTGTCCAATCCACCGTCCCGGAAAACGTTCCCTCAGAAATTTTTGGACAGCCTGTGTGCTATGCGCAGGAGCACCACATTGCTTGCCTTGTGTTTAAAGGAACGACATCTAAAAAATCATCTAATTCCTCTAAATGTCTCAGACAGTCGCTACAAGCCGTGAAAACGGTGTCGGCTCTGGTTAATGATTGTAAGAGAACATTAAACACACTGAGTTGTGATAACAGAGTCTCTCTGATCTGGGTCCCGGGTCACTCTGGGGTTGCTGGCAATGAAGCGGCAGATAAGCTAGCACGAGATGGCAGCGCTGAAGCGTTTGTGGGACCGGAACCAGCAGTTGGTGTATCATTTGCGATGGCCAAATATAGGATTGGACTGTGGGCTGAAGAGAGACTTCGCCTACTGTGGACCAGTTCTCCTGGAATGAGACATGCTAAGGTGTTTATTAACATCGCCACTGTCAAACCCGGGAATATTTTAGGACTTGCCCGTAGTAGCATAAAAGTTCTAATGGGTGTTTTTACTGGGCACTGCCGATTAAAAGCACACCTCAACTTGTTGGGTTTAGCCGACGATGTTGAATGCCGACTATGTGCGGAGGAAGCAGAGACGGTTGAGCATGTTTTATGCCACTGCCCTGCCGTTAACCGTATCAGATTCTCGATTTTTGGGTCGCAGTTTATCTCCTCAAAAGATCTGAATGACCTTTCGCCGAGCAAGGTATTAATGTTCGTTAAGAGCATTGGACTGCACGGTGAAATTTGATAACGATATCTATCGGGGTACAATAGATCCTTAGGGTCGCGGTGCAAGGTTGGTTGGTCCGCCTACCCGATATGTATTCTATGTAATGTAATGTAATGTACCAACAAGTTCATTGGAAGCGCAAAATATCAAAATGGAATTGTGTCAAGGCTGGTGTACCGCAGGGATCAGTATTGGGACCAATATTGTTTCTGTTATACATTAATGATTTGTCTGGCAACATTCAATCGGATGATGATACGTCCTTTATAAATTATGGCGGAAATTTCAGAAACTTCAGAAACATTAAACTATGAGGAAAAAACCAAGGTGCTGACCTTTTAAACAAAAATTAACGTTGCCAGAAACTTTAACCTGGACAGAGCATATTAATGAACTAAAAAAGAAACTAGCAAGTTCGACCAAGAATTTATCATCAGATATAGCTAAAGTCGTTTACTACGCCTACTTCCACAGTATGGCAACATTGGAATTGAAGTTTGGGAGGTATCTAGTCAAATAATCGATATCTTTAAACTGCAGAAAAAAGCGGTAAGGATTTTAAAGGAATTAAACAATCAAGAAAGCTGTAGAACAATTTTCAAAAAATTACCTGCTTGACTCATATTCATACGCAGAAACACCTACTTATATACACGAAATGCAGATATACATGACTACCATACCAGACACAGAAATGATATTCAGGTTCTATACCATAGGATAGAAAAATCCCAGAATTCTTTCAAATATGTTGGCATAAAGTTATACAACTTGATACCATCCGAAATAAGATCATTAAATAACAGTCAATTTAAAATTACTATGAAGAGAATGTTATTTATTTGATTCATTATGTAATATAAATATTTTTTTTTCTTTTGTATTGTATTGACGAGAATAATGTATTATGCATGCTTATTCAATAAATATTATTATTATTATTATTACAACATATGTATATTTTCGAATGAAACACCCATAAAGACTACCTGTCGTTAGATAGACTCTGTGTTAGTTCTAGTGATAGAGTAAAATTAGAACTACTACAAGATCTAGAACTACAATAATTCGGGTTTAGCCATCTTTAGAGACATGTGGCTAAACATAAGAATATGCAACATAGTGATATCTTATGCTAACTAGCGCATAATAAACTAACATTAGATCTAAAACTAGAAACATTCGGGTCTTGTGTTAGTTCTAGTACAAAACTAGAACTAAGTATCCTATGGTTAAATATTAATTAACTTAACTCAAAGTGGAATTTCTACACAAAATTCTGAAATACGTCTAAAAAGATATGTCGCATCTGGGTGACAAAGATTCGAGTGTTGTAGCAACAATTTTTAAATCTGTAATGGAAAGGACACAGAAAGATATCACTCAACAGAAGAATAGTTTCAATAAATAGCTCTCTGAACGCAGTAAGTAGTCTTATAGAACAGTATCTAGTCTTTCCAATCTGTTTGTTAACACTATCTAGTCTTCTCCAAGCAGATTGTAATCTTTTCCACCAGTATATAGCATTTTGGAAGCAGTTATTAGTCGTTTCCAGCAGTATCTAACATTCTGGAAGCAGTAGGTAGCCTTTTGGAAAGCATATCTTTTTTCCAAACAATTATTAAAGTCTTTGAAAGCAATAAGTAGTCTTGGAAGCAGTATTCCGCCTGTCCAAGTTGACGCATTTAACTCAAAAAACCAAAAAGTTTGAATTGTCAACTTTTAATTTCGATATATTTATCAATTTCATAAAAAATCCTTTAAAATGAGCCCAAACTCGACATATTTAACTTTAATATTAATGGAGATACAATCACTTCCGGTTTAAAACGTCAACGTCAATTTTGACATATTTGTCATCTTCATTAAAAAACCTTTAAAATGAGTCCAAAGATGACGTACTTATCTCAAAAAACAAAAAAGTTAAAATAAAAAACATTAAACCCGAAGTTAGCAACAATGAAGAGAGCAATTTAATTTTTAAATATTAATACCAACCTTAATTTTTCATTTTTTTTTAATTATATTTTTGTTTTTACGACAAATATTAAGACATTTTATAAAAATTAAGAATACGTCAAAATGACATTTCAAACCGGAAGTTGTTTATTTCTCGAGTAATATTGGAATTAAAGGTATCATGTTTGGACTCATTTTAAAGGATTTTTCACGACGATTACAAATATGTCAAAATTGACGTTGACATTGTCAACCGGAAGATGACCATAACTTCATTAATATTGAAGATAAATATGTCGTGTTTGTACTCATTTTAAAGGATTTTTAATGAAGATTACAAATATGTTAAAATTGAGGTTGACATTTTAAACCTGAAGTTAGTTATCATATAATAGAGTTCGTAATCTTCATAAAATAATCCAAATTTGACGCATTTATCTCAAAAAAACAAAAAATTCGAACTTTCAACTATTAATTTTAACATATTTGACAACTTAATTAAAAATACTTTAAAATGAGCCCAAACTCGACGTATTCAATTTTAATATTAATGGAGATACAATCACTTCCGGTCCAATTTTGACATATGTCATCTTCATTAAAAAACCTTTAAAATGAGCCCAAAGATGACGCACTTATCTCAAAAAACAGAAAAGTTAAAATAAAAAACATTAAACCCGAAGTTAGCAACAATTTAATTGTTAAATATTAATACCAACCTTAATTTTTGATTTTTTTTTATTATATTTTTGTTTTTGTGACAAATATTAAGACATTTTATAAAAATTAAGAATACGTCAAAATGACATTTCAAACCGGAAGTTGCTTATATCTCGAGTAATATTGGAATTAAACGTATCATGTTTGGATTCATTTTAAAGGATTTTTCACGACGATTACAAATATGTCAAAATTGACGTTGACATTCTCAACCGGAAGATGACCACAACTTCATTAATATTGAAGATAAATATGTCGTGTTTGTACTCATTTTAAAGGATTTTTAATGAAGATTACAAATATGTTAAAATTGAGGTGGACATTTTAAACTTGAAGTTAGTTATCATATAATAGAGTTCGTAATCTTCATAAAATAATCCAAATTTGACGCATTTATCTCAAAAAAACAAAAAATTCGAACATTCAACTATTAATTTTGACATATTTGACAACTTAATTAAAAATTCTTTAAAATGAGCCCAAACTCGACATATTTAACTTTAATATTAATGGAGATACAATCACTTCCGGTTTAAAACGTCAACGTCAATTTTGACATATTTGTCATCTTCATTAAAAAACCTTTAAAATGAGTCCAAAGATGACGCACTTATCTCAAAAAACAAAAAAGTTAGAATAAAAAACATTAAACCCGAAGTTAGCAACAATGAAGATAGCAATTTAATTTTTAAATATTAATACCAACCTTAATTTTTTATTTTTTTTTTTTTTATATATCTTTGTTTTTGTGAGAAATATTAAACATTTTATAAAAAATTAAGAATATGTCAAAATGACATTGACATTTCAAACCGGAAGTTGCTTATATCTCGAGTAATATTGGAATTAAACGTATCATGTTTGGACTCATTTTAAAGGATTTTTCACGACGATTACAAATATGTCAAAATTGACGTTGACATTCTTAACCGGAAGTTGACCATAACTTCATTAATATTGAAGATAAATATGTCGTGTTTGTACTCATTTTAAAGGATTTTTAATGAAGATTACAAATATGTTAAAATTGAGGTTGACATTTTAAACTTGAAGTTAGTTATCATATAATAGAGTTCGTAATCTTCATAAAATAATCCAAATTTGACGCATTTATCTCAAAAAAACAGAAAATTCGAACTTTCAACTATTAATTTTAACATATTTGACAACTTAATTAAAAATCCTTTAAAATGAGCCCAAACTCGACATATTTAACTTTAATATTAATGGAAATACTTCTCCAAGCAGATTGTAATCTTTTCATATCTCTTCTTTAAAATTAATTATTAGTCTTTTCCAGCAGTATCTAACATTATGGAAGTGGTGGGTAGCTTTTTGGAAAGTATATCTCTTTTCCAAGCAATTATTAAAGTCTTTGAAAGCAATAAGTGGTCTTGGAAGCCTTTAACAGCGGTGTTTAGCACTTTGGAAACAATAAGTATTATTTTGAAGTCTTTTCCAAGTAAGTTGCGATTTTTTTCTGCAATATCTAGAAATCATTTTAGAAGCAGATTTTTGAAATAGTATTTCCTCTTTACAAGTAGTTTTTAGTCTTTTACTAATAGTATTTAAATTTTTTTAGCAATAATTAGTATCTAGCGTTCAGTTGAATCTTTAAAGTGATTTTTTGGTAAGTTCTACACTTTTTTTTATTTGTAACGAGTTACTTGAGTAATTTACCATTGATCGAAAAAAAAAATGTCGATTTTTAGGCGACATGATGATTCTTGAATTATACCAAAAATCGTTTTGGGTGTTTCAAATTAATTAAATAATTAATTATTACTTTCTCACCTAGTTTTATCGTTCATAGCAGGAACCTTTGGTAACATCATTTTCGGCCTCCCACCACCGGAAGTGCCTAAATTAGCGGGTGGACGTCGTACTAAATTAAAATAATAATCACTACTTCACCTTATTTTTATAAAATCGCGTTTATTACCTGAATTCGGAGTATTTCCAGGCTGTTCTGCCATTTTGGCTTGAAATTGGTTTTAGTAGAGTCGGTAAAAGATGGGGCCCTAAGTGCCTTATGTTGCGGTTAAATGCGACTTCGGCGCGTTATTATTTTACGCATTTTTATCATCGTATCCAAGGCGCAAGTTTAAACATGCACTATAAAGTAGTAAACATGCTAATTCGCACGAAACGTCAACTTGAGACACAATCAACTTGAGAATTTTTACGATCGCCGCGACATCTATCTTGTCTTGTTTCTTTCCTGTCAAAAGATCTAATGGACATTTAATCTAAAATCATCGTAACCTAAAATTATCAAAAAATAAAAATAAGGCAATGAGGATGGCTTTAAAGAGTTTATTCGAAAAATGCGGCATTTTAAAGCGAAATCCCCAAATTATAAGGTATGTAATTAATTTAAAATCAAAAATTCGCTTTTAAATCGAATTAAATTTATTAAAAAAAAAACATAACCTAAAAATTATTTTTTTAACAATTTTAGCGTTTATTTACAACAAAAACTAATGTCTCAGTACCCAAGCTTCTTTGTTAAACCCGTATTTCGTAAAGAAGATCAAACCTCTCTAGCGGAAACTGGCGAATTACAAAAATTAGCTCATATTCCAACGAGAGCCGCTTTAAACCACCAAACTAGTTCGCTTTTTTACGACCATCAAATAAGGTATTACTATTTTCTATTCACACCCACATACTTAAAAATAAAACAAACGTTTTTAGTTTATTCATAAATTACGTAATGAAACAAGGGAAAAAATCGTTAGCAAGAGATATTGTAGGAAAAGCTTTCGAAAAAGTAAAAAGAATCCAACTCGAAAAGTACCACAAAGCCAACGAAACGGATAAAGAAAACATCGTGTTATCGCCAAAAACGATTTTCTACGAAGCCATTAAAAATTGCACCCCCATTCTACAATTGACACCGATTAAAAGAGGGGGTGTTCGATACCAAGTTCCCGTTCCGATAACTGATAAGAGGGGGCAATTTTTATCGATGAAATGGCTCATTGAAGCTGCTAATGAAAAGGAAAGAAAGGTGCATTTCCCTGAAAAATTAGCTTACGAACTTATTGATGCTGCTAATAACACGGGGCGTGTTGTGAAGAAAAAACAAGATTTACATAGGCAGTGTGAAGCTAATAGGGCTTATGCCCATTATAGATGGAGTTAATTTGTTTGTAATAAAATTAAATAAAATAAATTGTTTTTAAGCGACATCTATCGATTAAATAATTAACCTTTTAGATTCTGCCATCTTTGGTTGTGTTCTCAAATAAAGGTTGGGTTAAGTTGCAATAGATGGCGCGATTTTCTTTTATTAAATAAAAATCTAATATTTTAAATTATTTATAAATTGTAAAAAAAAATTATTGCTCATAAAATGTAAATAAACGCTTGTATGGTTTATACAATGGTTATTATTATTGTGCGCGTATCCAATGAAGTTGGTCACGAAAACGTAATAAAAACTTAACTCAATAGTTTTAATAGCGATAGTTTCAAAGATTTATTTAAGAAGGAACTAATTTATTTTCGACCATTTTTGCTAGATAAACGATGGCGTAACGTAATGAGGTTTTTAAAAATAACAAAAAAGATAAATATAAAGATAAATATAGAGATAAATATAATGATAAATAAAAGGTAGCTATGTTTAATGGTTAAACATCGGAAGTGCGTTACCACCACAAAAAAAGTTTACTCCCCAATAATAAATTTTTACTTTACGTCTTCTCAAATATTTACATTTAAAAAAAAACGTCATAATTGTAGCAAATATTGTTGGATGTTTTCATCTGGACTCGTTCGTTTTATTATAAAAGTATTTTTTTATAAAACATTTTTCTCGGGAAAATAAAAATCCAAACGATAATTTCCAAAGTAAATAATTTTACAATAAAAATATGACGACAATAGTAAAATATGTTTATAAAGAAGATCATGTGAGGAAAGAAACTGAATTAATATTGGTTCAGTAGATTAATATGTTATTATATACTTGACACACATTTGCATTTTAACAAGAGGATGAATAAAAAAATCGGGGGGAGGTGGACGATGTTAAAATTAAACTTTTTTTATCGGCAATGTTTGATTAAAAATCCAAATTGAATCGATACACAAAAAAAAATATATATAAAAATACCGTCTCGAATACAATTCGCATTTCGCTAATTCTCAATAACGACTTTACCAAACAGACTCGCGTTTAAAAATCGATGTAAATCGCTAAAAGGAGACTATTTTAATGAAACCACTTCTAAATACGTTATAAATAAGTTTTGAGAATTTTATTTATCTCGGCTTGTAATAAAATATAATGTGTATCATCGGATCATTTTCGCATCAACCGGTTGTGCTTTTTTATGTCATGGTTATCCTGATATTTGGGCAACAGTACGTTTTTGGGTGAGTCTTGTTTCTTTTTCGGTGATTCGCAAGATAAAGAGAAGACATACTGTCTGAGTGGAATCTAGGTCAATATCTCAAAAACAAAAATAAATAAATAAATAATGAAAATGAATCAACATTTTTATAAAAATATTTTTTGATATAAATCTACGATATAAATACTATCTTTACAATAATAACTCAACTCTGAAGACGCAAACTCGAGTCTTTCAAGTTCTATAGGCCTATAGTCCTAGAACTAGAAACAATCGGGTTTAGCCGTCTTAAAAGACGTTCGGCTAAATTCTAGTTCTAGGTTAAGTGTTGGTTCTAGTAACAGTACTAGATAGCGCTAGATTGTATATTTAAACTAAAACTAGAATGTTCTAGGTCTAGTGTTAGTACTAGCTATTTTGAGTACACACAATTCAAATTTGGCAGTAGCAAAAAAAAATTACACGATTGTAAAAAGTCGTTTAATTAGCTTTAAATTTGGAATTCTTATTTTTGCTTCTTGAATATGTAAAACATTGTTTGTGACACGACTAATGACAAAAATATTTGTCCCTTAATTTGTAAATTCGCAATTTTAATTTTTTTTTGTTCCTAAAATATATATAAAGATGTCCTGAACACGGCGCGCACAAAGAATTCAATTTTGGCAATGGCAAAAAAAATTATTATGTATTATTGCGATGTTTGCCAGCCATGAGTTGTGGAAACGCCTACTGTCAGCCATCAATCAGATTGATATGAGCATAAAATTAGCCGAGTATTTGTCAGTGGCTGATGAAATTGGACATGTTCTATTTTCAGGCAGTGACGACTAACAGATCGTGTGATTCACTCGCACCCGCTCCAATCAGCGAACAGCGCAGCACGTGCCCCGTGGTCCTTTGTTTATGTTCGATGGCTGTTAGTACTTAGAATGCCTTGGATACGGTTTTATTCGCTTATTTTATAAGCAAAAAGCTTTCAAAAATGTAATTTGCACATTTAGAGCTAAGGAAATAACTTGTTATAATTTGAATTGCGTGTGCTCATCGTATTCCTTAGGTCATTTTGAACATCTTAACCGCTTAACCTTAGCCGCACGTCTCTAAAGATGGCTAAACCCGAATGATTCTAGCTCTAGGTCTAGTGTTGGTTCTAGTAATCTAACAATAGAACTATCACTAGAACCAACACTAGACCTAGAACATAGAAACATTCGAGTTCTAAGTTTAGTATTAGTTATAGATAGGGCACGGAACTTTTGTAACAAAACGATACGATTTCCCCCCTCCACTCGTTCTGATTAAAAGAACAGCATATTGTTCAGTGGGAAATTAAAATTTCAAGTTAGAAAAAAATTGTTTTAACAAACACTGTTCCTGGTGTCATTCTTAAAAAATATTGTTAACAAAATTTTTTGATTTAACCAATAATTAAGGAGATAACCTCAAAATAATAATTTTTCCGTTTTTATACATAATTATACTTAGACGCTGAATTAATAGAGATGTAAAAATTTTTTATTAAGATAATTGATTCAAAATCGAAATTGAAACAAATTTTATTTAAAACATTTTTTGATAGAAACAATAATTATTGAGATAATTAATTTTGATAGCATACTATTCAGAGGGAAATTAATATTTCAAGTTAGCAAAAAATTTTATTAACAAACACTGTTCCTGAAGTAATTCTAAACAAATTTTGTTAACAACATTTTTTGATTAAATCAACAATAAGGATATAACCTCAAAAATATTAATTTTTGTAGCATACTATTCAGTGGGAAATTAAAATTTCAAGTTAGAAAAAAATTGTGTTAACAAAAATTGTTCCTGAAACAATTCTAAACAAACTTTGTCAACAATTTTTTTTGATTTAATCAATAATTAAGGAGATAACCTCAAAATAATAATTTTTCCGTTTTTATACATAATTATACTTAGATGCTTAATTAATAGAGATGTAAAAATTTTTTATTAAGATAATTGATTCAAAATCGAAATTGAAACAAATTTTATTTAAAACATTTTTTGATAAAAACAATAATTATTGAGATAATTAATTTTGATAGCATACTATTCAGAGGGAAATTAAAATTTCAAGTTAGCAAAAAATTGTATTAACAAACACTGTTCCTGAAGTAATTCTAAACAAATTTTGTTAACAACATTTTTTGATTAAATCAACAATAAGGATATAACCTCAAAAATATTAATTTTTGTAGCATACTGTTCAGTGGGAAATTAAAATTTCAAGTTAGAAAAAAATTGTGTTAACAAAAATTGTTCCTGAAACAATTCTAAACAAACTTTGTCAACAATTTTTTTTGATTTAATCAATAATTAAGGAGATAACCTCAAAATAATAATTTTTCCGTTTTTATACATAATTATACTTAGATGCTTAATTAATAGAGATGTAAAAATTTTTTATTAAGATAATTGATTCAAAATCGAAATTGAAACAAATTTTATTTAAAACATTTTTTGATAAAAACAATAATTATTGAGATAATTAATTTTGATAGCATACTATTCAGAGGGAAATTAAAATTTCAAGTTAGCAAAAAATTGTATTAACAAACACTGTTCCTGAAGTAATTCTAAACAAATTTTGTTAACAACATTTTTTGATTAAATCAACAATAAGGATATAACCTCAAAAATATTAATTTTTGTAGCATACTGTTCAGTGGGAAATTAAAATTTCAAGTTAGAAAAAAATTGTGTTAACAAAAATTGTTCCTGAAACAATTCTAAACAAACTTTGTCAACAATTTTTTTTGATTTAATCAATAATTAAGGAGATAACCTCAAAATAATAATTTTTCCGTTTTTATACATAATTATACTTAGATGCTTAATTAATAGAGATGTAAAAATTTTTTATTAAGATAATTGATTCAAAATCGAAATTGAAACAAATTTTATTTAAAACATTTTTTGATAAAAACAATAATTATTGAGATAATTAATTTTGATAGCATACTATTCAGAGGGAAATTAAAATTTCAAGTTAGCAAAAAATTGTATTAACAAACACTGTTCCTGAAGTAATTCTAAACAAGTTTTGTTAACAAAATTTTTTGATTAAATCAACAATAAGGATATAACCTCGAAAAAAATTTTGTATATGTATTTTTATAAATTTTTTTATTGAGAAAATCGTTTTAGAATTTATTGTTTACAATATTATTGTTACAAATATATTGTTTTGTTACAAAAGTTCCGTGCCCTAGTTGAAGTGGTAGTGCTAGTGTTAGTTCTAGTGATCTAACTGTATTTTCGTTCTTTCGAGATTCTGTTCATCAAATGCTTTTTTACACAACTTCAACGATTATCTCAAGACAGTAAATAATGTTAATATTAATATCAAGGTTAGGTTAACAATTATGACGAAAAATATGTTTTATTACCACCCGTATTTTTTTATTTATTTTTTTTTTAAGTTGCACGGTGTAATTTTGACATAATGTGTTGCAAAACTCAACGTAAATTTTGTACTTGCCACTGGTGCCGGTACCAGATGGAATAATGATGATCTACTTATTATGGCCTACTTCAAAAAGTGGGCATTACCCATTAATAAACACTTAATAATTAGAAATGACATTTTTATTTAATTATATATAACATTAAAATTTCATTGAACTTTTATCGTTTTTTTGCTATTTTAAGCATAAAAATAAAATCGCATCAATTCATCACAATATCATAATAAAAGATAAAGGCAGATTATAATACATGATGACGCTTATCAAAAATGAACGTTGTAACCTTTTTATTCATTGATCTTACTAAATAATTAAAAAAATCTTACCTTATTTTAAATTGTGAAGTTGGCCAATCTGAAATTAAAATGGTTGCTATGGAAACGTGGCGTAGTGGAAATGACAGTTCTATGACAGACATAACCGTAAAATAATCTAAATAGCATAATAAAATAACAAATTATAAGTTAATGATTATATAATTAAATGATTAATATGAAAGCGGTAATCAATAATCAAACTTTTCTTTAATTACTTTGACATAACCTTTTAATCACGTCCAAATATAAAGCAAAAACTTACCAAAAAAGTTATATCCTTGTTCTTGTCAATAATGAACGTTGTAACTTGAGATATAAACACTTCCTTATCCGACAAATACTAATCTTAAAAAACTAACTGAGATTGTTTAAAAATTTGAAGGTTAAAAGGTTGCTATGGAAACGACAACTAAGCAGTATTTCTTAAATTAACACCCAAACCTAAACATTGTTAATTATTAATAATAAAATGATTAAATCACATCATTTCTTATTAATATGGTGATAAAAATAAATAAAAACTTAATTATTTTGTGCCAGATTATGACAGCTAAATAATTTTTGATCGAGGCCAACTTCACGTTGAATGCGTTATCGAGGTGAAACAAAAAAATAGGCGGGAAATTTAAAAATATTAAATTTCTATTAAAATAAAAATATAAAAAGAATATTATTTTTATACAAAGATGATATTGCGGTATTTGAAGTGACTTTTTAATCAAGATGAAAATGGAACGTCAAATCGATACCGGTTATTTTTAAAATCGCCTAAATCATTTGCATATTATCTCATTTCTAAGAAAAATTATTCTCTAACGCAATTATCGGAATGACTTATACACACATTCTAAAAAAAACACTTCATAAAACGAAATAGAGGTTATTGTTTTTTATTATTCTCCGACTTTCTTGCTATTTTTAGCCAAACAATATCTGTAAGATCTATTTTTGGTCCATTGTGTTAATTGATTATCAAATTTAAGCGGTGCTTTAGACTCAATTAGCATCAATTGGTTTTTGTTGTTTTTTTGATTTTAATATTGTCGCTTTTATCTATTAATGTAGTTTCTATGATTCGATATCTTTTAGAAATCTCAATTAAAAATCAATTAACTTAATCATAATTCATAATAAATAATTTTTTTTTAAATTTTAGGTTAAGTTTTTTTACAAAACCACCCCAAGAAGATTTTAACACCAAGTTATTAATAAACACGACAGTTCCTAACCCTTTAAATTCGCCAGAAAACTTTAAACCTTTCATTAACATCCATTTGGATAATAAAACGTTAAGAGATTGCCCCGATATGAATTTCGATTTGGATGGAATTACGCAAAATCAATTCTCTAAGTTATTAACTAACGAATGCCGATATGATAAATTAACTAAGCCCCAAACTATTAATGGCAAAGCTCTAAATGTTTCTGTTAAAATTGATATAAAACATATCGAAGCTATTGATCAATTGGTAAGTTCGTAATAATCTTAATTTATTTAATTACATAATTAATTTTTGTTCTTGTAGAAATTTCGGATGGATATGATAATGCAATATAAATACATGGACCCCCGATTAAATTTCGAACAATTATCTCCGAATAGAACCACAATGATCGGTCGCGATATCTTAACAGGAAGAATTTGGGTGCCACATTTAATGGTTTTAAACGAAAAATCGAGTACTATGATGGGGTTCGGTAGCAAAGATCAATTTATTGCTATTTCACCTCAAGGAGAAGTCGTTTATTCCTACAGAATGTCCACGGTGATTTATTGCTGGATGAATTTGAAGAAATTTCCTTTCGATAAACAAATTTGTAGCGTCAATTTACAAACATGTAAGTTTATACAAAAAATTTTTGTTTGTATTTTGTTAGGGCACGGAACTTTTGTAACAAAACAATTCGATTCATCCCCCCCCACCACTCGTTCTCAGCAGAAAATTTCATACAAAAGTTGTTCTAAATTTTCGATTTTCTCAATAAAAATATATACATAAAATTTTTTTTGAGGTTATGTTCTTAATTATTGATCAAATCAAAAAATTTTATTAACAAAATTTGTTTAGAATTACTTCAGGAACAATGCTTGTTAATAAAATTTTTTGCTAACTTGAAATATTAATTTCCCTCTGAATCAAAATTAATTATCTCAATAATTATTGTTTTTATCAAAAAATGTTTTAAATAAAATTTGTTTCAATTTCGATTTTGAATCAATTATCTTAATAAAAAAATTTTACATTTCTATTAATTAAGCATCCAAGTGTAATTATGTATAAAAACGGAAAAATTATTATTTTGAGGTTATCTCCTTAATTATTGATTAAATCAAAAAATTTTGTTAACAATGTTTGTTAAGAATTGCTTTCGGAGTAGTGTTTGTTAAAACAATTTTTTTCTAACTTGAAATTTTAATTTCCCACTGAATAGTATGGTGTTCTTTTAACCAGAACGAGTGCAGGGGGGAAATCAAATATTGATATTGAATGTTTCTAGTTCTAGCGATACTGTTAGTTCTAGTTTCAATTCAACAAAAATAAACAACAATCTAGCGACGAATAACAATTAAATTATAGAAAGTTTCGGGTTTAGCTGTGCATCTTCAGGCGCTCTTTGTACGATACTTGACGACGCTGACTTATTTTTTTTTTATATTAGGGACTTACAACGCAAGTGAAATGATGCTTTTTTGGGAAGAAAAAAATTCTGTTACGATTTCCCCCCAATTACATTTGGCCGAGTTTTGTTTGGAAGATTATTGGAACTACCCCGTTTTAATAGATCCCCTGATCGAAAATGGGGCTTTTGGTAATACCAATTAATTTCTATTTAATCAAAAAAAAAAACATAATTAATTTCTTTTTAGTTGGTGATTATAGCGGATTAGTTTTAAAATTTAAAGTAGCGAGAGAAGTCGGATTTTACATCATGGACTATTTCCTACCGTCAATAATGTTGGTTGTAACTTCTTGGGGAACGTTTTGGTTACAAGCCGACGCAACCCCACCAAGAGCGACCCTCGGAACTGCGACTATGTTATCATTTATTACGTTAGCTTCGTCGCAATCGAAAAATTTGCCGAAAGTTTCTTACATAAAAGTGAGCGAAATATGGTTTTTGGGGTGTTCGTTTTTTATTTTCGCCTCAATGGTAGAATTCGCCTTTGTTAATATAATTTGGAGACGAAGAAAAGATGTCGAATTAAAACGGGTTTCGCCTAAATACATTTTTAAATCGACGATAACGCCGGGGTTAGCTCGCAAAGAATTGTATAAAAGCAAAAAGGAAATGGATGAATTATACAGTTCGAATGGGAGCTTAGATAAATCATCATCGTCGATTATTATCGATGATTTAGTCGAGAATAAAGAACACGTAGAAGAAGTTCAAGCTAAAACTTGGACTACAATGACGCCCCAACAAGTTTCGATTTGGATCGATAAAAAAAGCCGCGTTGTATTTCCGTTATGTTTCTTAATTTTTAATATAATTTTTTGGATTTTTGTCTTTTGTTGGTAATTATCTTTGTTTGAATTGAATACTTTATCGCTACGTTTAAATATATTTTTATGTAAAAATTAAAGTTTGATTTACCTTCGAAGAAGAATCCCATTACAAAAAAATTACAAATTTCTTAATTTTAGAGGCCACTTTCAACCGGTAGACCTCCAAATGAATCGCCTCCGTTCAAACACACGTGATTCGGTATGACGTAACGTTAGATAGAGGTGCAACCACGATCACGTGCTTTTTCTCGATGCAGAAAGTTCATCAGCCTTGAAAAAAATAAACAATTTAATGATTTGGAATTTCTAACTACAAAATTTTCTTGATTACAAATATGAAGCTAAATATAACCTTGATGATGTGGCTATCAATGCAGTAACGTTAAAAGTGCGAATAAGTGATTACTAGGGCACGGAACTTTTGTAACAAAACAATACGAATTCCCCCCTCCACTCGTTCTTAGCAGAAAATTTCATACAAAAGTTGTTCTAAATTAAATTCTAAAACGATTTTCTCAATAAAAAAATGTATAAAAATATATATATAAAATTTCTTTTGAGGTTATCTTCTTAATTATTGATCAAATCAAAAAATTTTATTAACAATATTTGTTTAGAATTACTTCACGAACAGTGTTTGTTAATAAAATTTTTTGCTAACTTGAAATTTTAATTTCCCTCTGAATAGTATGCTATCAAAATTAATTATCCCAATAATTATTGTTTTTATCAAAAAACGTTTTAAATAAAATTTGTTTCAATTTCGATTTTGAATCAATTATCTTAATAAAAAAATTTTACATTTCTATTAATTAAGCATCCAAGTGTAATTATGTATAAAAACGGAAAAATTATTATTTTGAGGTTATCTCCTTAATTATTGATTAAATCAAAAAAAATTGTTGACAAAGTTTGTTTAGAATTGTTTCAGGAACAATTTTTGTTAACACAATTTTTTTCTAACTTGAAATTTTAATTTCCCACTGAATAGTATGGTACAAAAATTAATATTTTTGAGGTTATATCCTTATTGTTGATTTAATCAAAAAATTTTGTTAACAAAATTTGTTTAGAATTACTTCAGGAACAATGTTTGTTAATACAATTTTTTGCTAACTTGAAATTTTAATTTCCATATGAATAGTAAGCTATCAAAATTAATTATATCAATAATTATTGTTTTTATTAAAAAATGTTTTAAATAAAATTTGTTTCAATTTCGATTTTGAATCAAATATCTCAATAAAAAATTTTTACATCTCATTAATTAAGCATCCAAGTATAATTATGTACAAAAACGGAAAAATTATTATTTTGAGGTTATCTCCTTAATTATTGATTAAATCAAAAAATTTGGTTAACAATGTTTGTTAAGAATTGCTTCAGGAACA